CTTGTTTCTTCCTCCTTCTTCCTTTTCTCCTTTCCACTTATGCATACCTTACAACTTTTGTACTTGTCCAGCATTTCTTGGATATGTTCTTCCATCACTTTCATTCTTTGTTCTCTTTACATTTCAGTTTTGGAAGTTTCTGTTGACACTTCTTCAAGCTTGCGCATCATGTCCCCAGCTGTGCCCAGTCCATTGATGAGCTGACAAAAGCTGCTGTTCATTTCTGTCACATTGTGTGATTTGTAAATAAAATATATTTTCTTATGGTGCTAAAATACACAGAGCATAAAACTTGCCCTCCTAACCATTTTTAAATGTACAGTACAGTGGTATTAAGTACAACTCTTTTTGTTGTGCAACCATCACCACGGCCCATCTCCAGAATTCTTTTCCTCCTGCAATACTGGAACTCTATACCTATTAAACCATAACTCCGCATTGCCCCTTCTCCTCAGTCCCTGGCACCTACCTTTCTACTTTCCATCTCTAGGAATCTGACTACTCAAAGTACCCCCTATCAGGGGACTCGTACAGCATTTGTGTGTGTGTGTGTGTGTGTGTGTGTGTGTGTGTGTGTGTGTGTCTTCTTCCCCTTAGCATGATGTCCTCGAGGCTCATCTGTGTTGCAGCACGTGTCAGGATTCTCTTCCTTTTGGAGGCTGAATAGTATTCCATTAAATCACATTGCGCTTATCCATTTGTCTATTGATAGATGTTTGGTCTGCTTTCGCATTTTAGCTATTATGAACTATACGGCCATGAACATGGGCGTACAAATCTCATTTTGAGACCCAGATTTCAATTTGGGGTGTATATACTCAGAAGTAGGATTGCTGGATCATATGGTAGCTGTTTTTCCTTTTTGAGGAAACACCACCATACTGTTTTCCACAGTGCCTTTGTCATTTTACAGTCCTACCAACAGCGCATAAGGGTCCACTTTCTCCCAATCTTTGCTAGCACTTGTGATTTCCTGTTTATTTGTTTGTTTTCTTGTTTGGATTAGTGATGTGGAACACCTTTTCATTTTCCTATTGCCATGTGAATATCTTCTTTGGAGATATGTCTGTTCAGTTCCATTGCCCACTTTTGAATAGAGTTGATTGTTTTTCTTGCAAAAGTGAGGTAGGTCTATGTGTGCTGTCTTGGGAATATCCTGTATTCAAATTATTAAGTGGTAAAGGCACGTGGCAGATCAATGTGTACATCATGGGTAATGCCCCATGTTTCAGAGCACATCTGTGTATGAAAAAGAGCTAGCATAAGCTTTGAAATCATATATACCAATATGTCATTTGTGGTGACCTCTGAGGAGGGGGCTGAATTTGGCAGGAATTTTGAAAAGGGAGAAATTGTGATTTATCTGTGGCATTAGAGTTTTTTGGGAATAAAAATATATGCAATATATAGTAATCTTTATATTAAAATATTTATATAAACCTAATAAGGGAAATAGTAGAATAGAAATAAATTCTGATGCGGTTTGGCGGGGGACCTGTGCTCTAGGTGACCAGGGATCTAGGCTGCTTCCATCTTGTGGTTCCCCCATCTCAACACGGAGTCACCGTATTTGCTGGCAAACTGAGGGAGATGTCATGCAATTGGCATATTGGCTCTCAAATGTGCAGATGTGATAACCAATGCTTCTGCTCATGTCTCAGTGGCAAAAGGTTGTCACATGACCCTTCCTAACTACAAGTGGACTGGCAATGTAGTGTGCACCGTGTCCAGGAAGGAGAGCAAGAGAAGAAACAGGTGGGCACTGAAGTCCCTTCCATGCACCATTACATTGTAGGTGCTCATAAGAAAGCAACCACCATAATTGGTTGTGATGACAGCCATCTTCACTGCTTGGAGGACTTCCTTTGGTCAGATTTCTCTTGAAATTCTCTGAACTTTTAAGTGCCTACTATGTGTCAGGTGCCTTCAAATACAGAACCACATCTAACTGTAAGAGGGTCATGTAAATCTCCTCAGGGAGGGTTCCCCTTCTTCACTCAACAGCACCTTTCTGCACTTCCCTATGCAATACTGTCTATAATGTGAGTAGGCTGAGAATGTTCTCCTCCCTTTGGATGCATGTGTAAATGTTTAACCTGTGAATCTCTGCTTCCCTCCATATGACTGAACTTGCCTGAATGTCTGCACAGATGCATTTAGACTCACTGAAAGCCAGGTCTTCCCTGTGGGGCAGGGACCAGAAAAGAGACCGAGGGAGGGTGGCTAATTATTATTTTTTTCTTTTTAAATTTCACCTAACATGTCCACCAAGCAACCATTTCTCACCTCCTACAAGAACTCTAGGAAGGGTTTAAATTGTTTTTTTAAAGAAATTTGGCTTTAGTCGTTATCTATCATTTATTTTGAGGCATTAATTTCTGACCAGCTGTATAAGGTCTTTAATCCGTGCATGTGTTCCGTTCCCAGCTTCAAATAAGAATCCCATTACAGTCCTGCTGCAAGCACCACGGTGGCTTCATAAGTCCTCCGTGTATCTTCAGGTTCTATCACAAGGCCCAGTAGGTTATAGGCACAATCAGATTTTACTCACCCCCAGCTGGAAAACAGAGAGTGCGTTGGAAGACTCCCAAGGAGAGATGACTAGGTGTCTAAACATCAGGGCCTAAAGTACCACTTTCCAGTTAAAGGGCTGTGGCTATCAGACTGGATCGAGGGTGAGCTATGGGAGAGCAAGGGACTGCTGCAGGGAGTAGGAAGCCTCTGTGTCAGGACGAGGGCAGGAGATTCTGTGCAGCCTTCAGAGGAGACAGCAGTGATGAGCAGGTCAGCATACCAGGTTCCAGTGTTGGTCAGGAGGGCACACAGGGGAAGACCAGGGGAAGGTGCTGTCATGCGGAAAGTGCTGGGACTGGGCAGAAATGCAGGCACCTGGCAAACTCAGCTCTCAACAAACCTCAGACAATCCCCAAATTGTGTTTGATTCTCATTGCCACCTTCCTTGCTTATGCCTGTTTTTATTATGTTAGTCTCAAGGTCCTACTATTTGTCATCTGAAAGACATCATTCATATAGTACTGAGAAGAGAAATGAATTGCAAGGTAGAAGATGAGCCAAGGGTGGGATGGGTGGAGATATCATGGATTCTAGATTAGTTAAGGCAAGGAGTCTAGTCTCCACCCTGCCACAACTAGCTATGTGATCCTGGGAATATTACCAGGCCCTGTTAGCAACAGATTTTTCATCTGTGAAGTAAGTGGGTTTGATGAGCCCTGTCTTGTAAGACTGAAGAATGTATGGAGAGTTTGTAAGCACCTCACTCAGTGCCTGGTGTATATTGAAACTTCAATAAATGCCAGTTATTTCTAATATTGTTTTGATCCCAGTCCCTTCCACTTTCTCCTCTGGCACTACGTTTAGCTGTCAGTTATCCAGGTCATATTAGAGAATATGCAGCTCAATAGGGCATAGAATACCCAATTGGCAAAAAAGGATGTTCCCTAAATAACACTCAGTAAATTTTCTCAATTAAAGAATGCCTGATCAAATTCAGGTGTGGGGGAATCTTCCCAGCTGGATGCAATACAAAGCTGTTAGAAAGAGTCAAAGAACAACACCTTTCCTCCCTCTAAGCTGCTCTTCCATGCAAAGAAATCCTTTCATTTATTCACCCACACCCAAAATCTAGCCCTTGATAATAATTGGTCAAATTACATTCAAGATCATTAACATTCAAACTTAACTGTGCTGTGGAATTTGAGTCTCCCAGGCCAGAAAAAGAGTGCCCATCCAGTTACTCAATGCTCAGTAACCATATTTCTGCAGAAATCTGTGGAAATGATAGGTATAAAAGTCCTAGTCTTTGTACTGTCCAATGACACTGGGACTGTGTGCAGGAAACCCATTCTTCATAACCAGGTGGAGATTTCGCTCTGGTTTATCCATTATCCATTAAGAACTTCAGAGCAATTTTTCATTTCAGGTTTCTTCTCATTCTCAAGACACATCATCTGCCACTGCTACTACCCAGCTTCATTACAATCAACCCCCACAGAGGGATTTGCAGTTTCCCAAAACTCCAAACTGCCTTGGCTCAAGCCATATACACTTCAGTGTGCTCCCTTGGCACCCCACTACCTCTCCCCTTCTTTTACTTGTTCCGTAGGACTTGGGGGACACCTCACCGCTTTCCTTATATGACTGTGACTCTTACACTGTCATTCTTTGGGTTGGTGTGTCATGCTTATCCTAGTGTCTGTCCCCACTGCTAACACAGGGCCATCCAGAGGACAAAGGCTTAGTGAATGTTTAGGGCAGGGGCCTCCAACCACTGGGTTGTGGACTGGTGCCAGTCCACTGCCTGTTAGAAACCAGGCCTCAAAGCAGGAGGTGAGCAAGCAAAGCATCACTGGCATTACCACCTGGCTCCTTCCCCTCCTCCCCATCTGTGGAAAAATTGTCTTCCATGAAACCGGTCCCTGGTGCCAGAAAGGTTTGGGACCTCTGATTTAGGGTATAAATGAGTCAGTGAGAATAGATTTTATATATTACTGTTTATTTTTCTACATTCTTGAATAAGCTAAGAAAATCCAGGTATGTGTGTGTACGTGTGTGTGTGTGTGTTTTTTACAGAAAGACTTAAAATGATACAAGAATTCAAAAATTACCTATTTAATATGTTTCTGTTTTATTCTTTCACATTTAAAAAAATCCTATTCCAATGCCATATTACCTCATTACAGACTACAAATAAAATTTAAGTTTACCCAATTTGTTTTACAGAATAACAAAATTCTCTTAGCTTGGATAAATAAATAAACGTGTGACTTGTGTCACGTGTAAACTTAGATTCTGAAGCTAATAAACATTCTACTTAAAGTAAATTTTAAAATACCCAAAATAGAAGATACATTTCTAAGTCACCCCAATGGAACAGAAACACAAATATATTCTTCACTGTGATTCCTTCAACCCCAGTCTTGCCCTCCACTACTTATATCATTGACTTCTCTCTTAAAATACAAAATATTCTGCTTTGGACTTCACTCAGGGCAGGAGAAGCTACTGGACATGGCACAAGAACTTGAACTGGCCATGGCAGTAGTATTATCTGTGGTGTCAATTCTGGCCTTGTTTCTCTGTTCCTCATCTCTCAAAGCCTCCTCATACCAGTGTGGGAAGGATCTGGGGTCACTCCCATTGATCTGGGCCAAAAACTCCAGGACTTTCATTTTGCTGGTTTCAGCGTGGGCCCTGGAACCCCACAGGAACTCATAGCATGCAGGATGGCTGTTAGGCACTTGCCGGTACTCCAGATACTGTTCCTGCACCCAATCTTTGGTGATTAGCTCCCTGGGCTCCCCATAGATGCGATGTTCCCTTCCGGCATGCACCCCCATTACATTCAGTGCTTCCCATATCTTCTCTTCAGGTACACAATCACCCTCCACATAGATTATACTAAGGATAAATATCAGAAGGCCAGTCTTGGGCATACTATGCTCATTGCTCACCATCCCATCATAGGTGAGACCCAGTTTAGTGACTAGGGCATAGGAGTGGTTGGTGGGGTCCACTTCCTTCACATCAATGCCATAAACCAGCGTCATGCACTCGAAGGCTTCACTGAAGATCACAGCAGAGTGATTTTGGTACTCTCTGATTATGCTACTCAGTATTTCTGCCTTTGAGGTCAGCTCCTTTTTGCGATACTTCAGGAGAAGGAACCCAACCAGATCAGCTACCTTATCATCAATCACATATCTGGGCAAAACCTCTATGTGTGGCAAGGCCTGAGAGGTACTTGGACCCTCCTCTTTTTGGCTGCTGGATTGGCTCAATGGGGTGGCAGTGGCAGTGGCCATGGAAGTGGTGGAGGGGCAGGCACTAGGAGGGCTCTGGGAAGGACTTGGTGTCCCAGCAAGAGCATGAACTTTCTCTGGGGTGCTAGGGGTACTTGAAATCAGAGGATAGCAAGAGGAAGAAGAAGTGGAGGAGAAAGAGGAGGGGAAAGAGGAGGAGCAGGTGGAAGATGAGGAAGTATCCTCATCCTCAGCCTCGGGAATCTGTGCATCCACAAGACCCTGTGCCTCCCTTTGGGATGGAAGTTCCTCAAGCATGTAGCGTTGTCGTTTTGGAGCTCGAGGCATAATGACTTCGTGTCAGGCAGCCACAGCAGTGTGAGCAGCAGGTGTGTGATGAAGATCCACAGGCCTGGGAGAGATAGGAAGTGTAAGTCGCCTCAGCTGAGATGCACACCCTTGGCAGCTCTGACAAAGGTGACCTAAAGGTATCCTCTTTAGGGGTGTTTTTGGGCCTCACCAGGGTCTCTCCTCCTAAGTGGACTATCCCCTGTGATCCTGAAGGAGGAAGTCAGATGATTCTTCAGGGTGCATTTGGCACAGCCTTAAGTTCTGTGGCTGACAGTGGGGTGGGGTCAGGTGTTATGGGGTCTCCCCTATTCTGGCATGGAGGAAACTCTAGGGATACATTCAGGGAAGGCATCTCACCTTGACTGCTGGCACTGTCTGGATCTTCTCAGCTCTGTGACCTATGTTCCCGTGCCTCAGACAGAGGCCTTTACCTTCTGGTTCCCAGAGCCCCTGTAACAGGAAACAAGGGAGTGCTTCAGTGTCCAAAGGGCATTCACAGCACAGGCCTCCAGTGCTGACAAAAGAGAGGCTCAAACTCTGTGAGGTCCCTACTGCTCTGGAATAGGTGGTCTCCCCTGTGCTCACTAAGGGTCCTAACATTTTCCCTGGCAGGGTCTGGGACCTCCCCTTTGCTTCTATGAGACAAAACTCTCAGAACAAGGCTACCTACCCCTGAGACTTAACAGAAGAGAGTGAGAGGGGCCCACACCTAGTCACACCTGCCAAGAACCTCTCACGAGGGATAGAAAAACATGGCTGAACTCTGGGATCGGTCAGTCCTGGGATGGGGAGTTCCTTCAGTCCTAACTTTGATCTGACAGGGTCTAGGATTACTCCCTCTACTGACTAGGCACTTTCCTTTAGACTAAAATCTCACATTCATGAGACACTGAAGGAGGAAGCGAGGGACAATATAGCTAGCCACCATGTTCCACTTCCTCTCATGGCTTACAGAAGTGGCAAAGCAGGGCTGGCATTCCATCTGTTCTGATGTGAGATGTTCCCTCAATCTTCATTCTGAGTCTTATGAGGGAGTAAGATTCAGGAGCAGGGGAAAATCTGGGCTCCCTATGTTCTGGGCATCAGGATTACTTTTGTCTTCTCTCTGAGTCCACACCTTAAAAGGAGTCACGGCCTGGGATTTCTCCCTTTTCTGACTTAAATGTGGTCCCCCTCAGTCCAAGTCTCTCACCTACCTGAGGCCTACCACTCCAGCCAAAATGAGGATGCTCTCAGTATAACAGTTCTGTCTTGTGTCTCTCAGAGCTGAAAGTGGAAGTGGGACAGATTTCTGTGAGGAACAAATTTGTTCTGGAGTAGAATTCACCCTCATTTATACCTCATGGTCAATGGTTTGACTCAATGTAGTACCTGAGTGCCCTTGCTCTGCTGGCCATATGCCACACCCTTAAGTATAAGACTCTATCACTGTCAAATTCCCAAGAGCAAATAAAATGGTAGTCTTGATGGAAAAGCTATTCTGGAAATCCCTGGGATGAAAGCAACTGTGGGTTTCTGTGGGGTCCTCACTATTGTGGGGTCCAAGGTCCCCTCAGTCCTACCTTAGGGCCCTACCTTGACTGTGGCAGGTGCTAGACCCATCCCCTGAGAATCTGAAGTCCCACTGCTTATATTGTACAAACCCCAAGAGTCTCTGAGACCTTGGATGCAGAAGTAAAAAATACTCCCTGTGGTCATCCTCCTGTGAGGCCTGTCTGATTAACTCTCAGTTCCTGGGCCTGTGCCCTGCTGATCTGGGGTCCTAATTCTTATGCCAAACCCTGAGATTCTCTCAGACCTAGATGCAGAAGTAAGAAAACCCCATGTTTGGTCATTCTCCCATGAGTCTTGTTAGATTGATTCTGTTCCGGAGCCCAGGGTCCCTCAGTCCTTCCTCAGGGTCCTCACTTTGACTCTGGCAAAAGCTGGACCCGCCCTCTTGAAATCTAAGGTCCCGTTCCTTATACCAAACCCTCAGGTTCTCTGAGACCCAGATATATGGAAGGAAGGAAACACTTCGTGTGGTCAGCCTCCCGTGAGACCTGCTGGATTGACTCTGGTAGATCCTAGGCCTTCCCTCTGCTAATCTGGCATCTTAACCCTTATGCCAAACCCTGAGATTATGACTCGATGGACAAGGGAGGAGACTCCGTGTGCAGTCCCCCGCCCTGGGGATTCCCAGGATTGCCTCTGTTCTGGGGCCCAGGGTCCCTCCATCCCTCAAGGTCTTCACCTTGCCTCTGGCAAGTGCTGGGCCCACACTCTGTCAACCTGGAGTCCTACTCCTTATACCAAACTCCCGGAGTCTGAGACCCAAATGCGGAAGTAAAAAACGCCGCCTGTGAGGCTTGATGGATTGACTCTTGTAGGGGGTCCAGGTTCCTTCGGTCTTCCTCCGTGCCCTTGACTCTGGGCAGCTTTTCTGCCCTCCCCTCTGCAAACCCGAATCCCTACTCTTTACCCACGTCCCCAGTCTAAGACCCACTGTGGAAATCAGGACACGTTGCACGTGGTCATCTGTTATGGGGCCTCCCACGGCTGAGAGCAGGGGTGGGTTTCTGTGAGCTTTCCTCTGTTGTGGGATCCAGGGACCTCACCTTGTTTCTGGAAGGTCTTGACTCCACCCTCTGCCAAACTGAGGTCCCTCTGTAGAACTAAGGCTGCGCTCCTCACAGGAAGCCCTCACCGTCTGTAAGACTAGGATAAAGAAGTAGGGAGACGCTGCCTTGTGCGGTAATTCGCCCCCCACCCGGGACTCCCAGGACTGAATCTGTTCTAGTTTCCAGGTCTACGGTCCCTCAGTATTCCCTCAGGGTCCTCACCTTGACGCTGACAACGCCTGGCCTTGCCCTCTGCCGATCCGGGGTCCTACTCCTTATACCAAACTCCCAGCGTCTCTGAGACCCGGATGCGGAAGTAAAAAACGCCCCCTGTGGTCATCCTCCCGTCAAGCCTGTCAGATTGACTCTGGCAGGTGCTGGGCCTGCCCTCTGCCGATCTGAGGTCTTAATCCTTATGCCAAACTCTGAGATTCTCTCATACTTAATGCACAAGTGAAGAGACTTCACATGTGGTTCTCCTGCCCTAAGGACTCTTAGGATTGCCTCTGTTCTGAGGCCCAGGGTTCCTCCATCCTCCTTCAAGGTTCTCACCTTGACTCTGGCAAGTTCTGGGCCCACCCTCTACTGATCTGGGGTCCTACTCCTTGTATCAAACCCTGAGAGTTTCTGAGACCCAGATGCGGAAGTAAAAACACTCCCAATGGTCATCCTCTCGTGAGGCTTGATGGATTGACACTGTTGTGGGGTCCAGGTTCTGTCAGTCTTCCTCAGCGTCCTCATCTTGACTCTAGACAGCTTTTCTGCCCTCCCCTCTGCAAACCAGAAACCCTACTCTCTATCTGTGTCCCGGTCTTAAGACCCACTGTGGAAGTCAGGACATGTTGCACGTGGTCATCTGTTATGGGGCCTCCCATGGCTGAGAGCAGAGGTGGGCTTCTGTGGGTTTCCCTCTGCTGTGGGATTCAGGGGCCTCGCCTTGTTTCTGGCCGGTTCTGTTCCCAACATCTACATATCTGAGATCCTGTTCCTCACACGAATACCACAGACTCTCTAAGACCAGAGTAAAGAACTCAGGAGATGCAATCTCTTGTGCAAGTAATTCCCACCCCTCTGCCCAGGATTCCCAGGACTGCCTGTGTTCTAGGTTCCACGATCCCTGGTTCCTCCCTCAGGGTCTTCATTTTGACTTTTCCATGTCCTGGGCTCTCCCTCTACAGATCTGAGGTCCTGATCCTTATACTGAATGTCCAGTCTCTTCAGTCCTTTGTCAGGGTCCTTACCTTGACTCTTGGCAGGTACTGGGACTCATTTCTTTGCTGATCTGAAGATGCATCCCTCTTTTCAAGCTTCATTTCTCTGAGATCTGTATCCCCGAGAGGAAGTCAGGGGCCTCCAGGAACTGACTGTAGGAAGAAGGTGTAGCTGGAACCCCTCTTTTCTGGTTTAGGAGGTTCCCTCAATACTTTTTGAAGATTCTCACCATGAAACCTGACATGGCCTGAAACTTTTTTTCTGCTGACCCGAGTCCCTCTAGTTCCATCCAAGGCCACCATTGCTCTGAGACACTCCTTCCCAGACATAAATAAGGTAGGCCCTCCACCTGTTTTTCCACTGGGATCTCTCAGGTCTCACGGGTCTCCTAGGGAGTGGAGCAGAAATCTCTGGGCCTCCTGGGGAGCGTGGGTCCCTCAGTCCCTATTCATGTTGGTCCTCATCTTGTTTACTGGCCCCTGAAATAAATGCCCCCTCCCTGTCAGCTCAGCATTTTTCCAGCTGCAACCATTGCAAAGAATGACCCCGGGTCCCAGAATAGGTGCGAAATGGAGAGCTGCAGTGTCCGTAACTGTAGAGCAGAATCAGAGAGGAAGTATACCTTCCAAAAGGGTCTCTTCACCAGCCAGCAGACTTCGGAAACATTCTGTTCTAAAAGATGTATTTTCTACACAGAGGCTGAGAAACAGGACTTGGGGAGCGCCTTCTGTTTCAAGCTTATCATTTTGGTTTTCATTTTCTTAACCCCCATTCTTAGTAAAAGATATATTTTACATCTCTACCAAGTGTATATTTAGTATATATAATATATAGATATAGATTTAGTATATATAATACATGCAATTTCATGAAAGAATGTCTACACTTACTATGCGTGGGTCACTCTGATACTTCTATTTCCAATCTTTATCTTCTATTAAAATAATTTTTTAAAGGCCAGTCCTCACCCAATTGTCAAAAGTTCAGGAACAATAGAAGTAAAACCAATGAATCACTAAAATAGTAATTAGTAAAAGTTTATTGTACACACACCAAAAAGGCAGTTTGTGATCCAGAAGCATTCAAACCAAACATGAAATGAGACTCAGGGGTATATTATTAAAAAGCAGCTTATATAATGAGAAGGCAGTGATTATTCTTCATAGAAATTTGTTATAATATTAG